GATCTCTTCTCTGGAACCTTGCAGTCTTTCACTCCTGGAACAACCCTGGCACCCTCTCGACCTATAGCTTTCTGTACCTGCAGTGCTTTTTCTCTTCCCGCCCACTCTGCTCTTCAGCTGGTTAGCACCTGTCCATTGACTTCAGTTCATCCCAGCTTAATTACTGCTTTCTGACTTAGCTGAACTAAGTTAGATCTGTTACATATTCACAGAAAACTGTATCCTTTCAAAGCATATCTCACAGTTCATAATTAAAAACTTATTGACCTCTTCATTTGGTGAAAGTCGGCTCCCCAATAAGGTCATAAACTCCCTGAAGACAGACTTAACATCCATTTAGCTCGAAATGAAATTCCTGCCCTTAGCACTGTGCCTGTCACATAGTTTGTTGAATGAATGACTAGGAATTACATAATTTGTACTGAGATTTGGCACATAACTCAGAAGGCATTGTAGAGAGATTGGAGGCTAATAAGCCTATGCATATGTGAGCATGGTGCGGGGGGTGGGGGGCATGTTATGAAGGAGAGAAACATGGTATTACACATTTTTAATTTTCACTAAGTATATTTTTATATTGCAAATGTGTAAACTACACATACATTAATGACTGCATATGCATCTGTATTTCTTCTTCTATAGGATCTGCAGGAGACAAATACCACTGGTAGATGAACAGTTTTTGTCAGAAGGAAATTTGCTTAAAAGGGAAACTTCTTTTTAAATACGACATTCTCCAGAGCCTATATTTGAAAAAAGCACAAGTCAAAAATCACATTGGCAATTATTACCCATTTTTATCAGAAGTGCACATGATTTCTCCAGCAGAGGGTGCTAAAATATAAATTTGGCACAGTGAAGCTTAGCAAATTTGTTTAGTTAAGGAATAGATTTGCCTATTCAATCTTGATTGTCCGGTTCTTATAGCAATATATCTAAAAAGGGCTAGTCTTGTAGAATATGGACATAGGATGATCTTAAAACTAAAGTTAAAAAATGTGAATTTCTAAATATTAAATATTAAATACAAGGGCAATTTCCTCCATGTTGACTTGTCACTTTGTAAAACTTTTAGCTAATGTCCCCAATTAGAATTCTCTCTCTGTTCTGCATCACTTTTTATCGGTAGCTCTATGATAGCATTTACCACGGCCCTCTTTTTCATTGCATCTAATTGCGTATCTGTCTGTCCCTCTTCATCCCAGCCTCTGGATTGTGAGCATTTGGAAGGTAGCGAATGGCTTTTACATTCATTGCTACATATGATTTGGAGAGGAGGGATGGATAGATTTACTTCTCTACTTAGGTTTTGCTTTGATTCACGTTAAAACCTACTTGTCTTTTCTGAGAATACAACAACTGCTGTATGTGTGAGGAGATGGGAAGGGAACAACTAGTCTTGGGAAAAAGTGTCAGGCAGCCAGAGGTCAAGCTTTTGCTGCTGATGGCTAACAAAATAGAAATGAAAAATTTGCCAATCAGCATTCTCTTTTCGCTTAATGTCATAAAGCCAGAAAAACAGGTGTCTCTAATTAAGATGTAAAATGAAGTAGGCCTTTTAAGTACTGTAAAGAAGAGCTTTTTTTCTTAATGTAACAGACTTAAAAGGAATCTCAGAAGGGTCTACCACTGAGCGCTAAGCGTGGGGTTTGACCGCCTCCTGGAGTGATAGCCCTCCCGGCTCACCAAGAACAATCCGGGGTTGTAATCAGAGAGGCAGAAAACTAGTTATCTCGGGAACAGAGCCTCTCTTGCCAAGGTGGAGCTGGCAAGCTGCCTGACCTCAACAGAGCTGAAGGAAGCTTCAGGTCAGGGGCAGGCTGATGAGATAAATTGTAGTAGGGCTCACAGGGACCGTGGCCACTAGAAATCCAAACACAATCCTGGGCCTTTTAAAAGGGACCAGCAATGAGATAATTGCCAATTATTATGGATGGTCAATATGCCCTTACTACTGCCCCAGCCTGGATCCTGCCTGGAGAGGTGG